AATAAACAAATAAATATTTTAAATGATAAAAAATAGGACTCCCCTGGTGGCACAGTGGTTAAGAATCCACCTGCCAACACAGGGGACACGGGTTCGAGCCCTGGTCTGGGAAGATCCCACATGCCACAGAGCAACTAAGTCCGTGCACCACAACTACTGAGCCTGCGCTCTGGAGCCCGCAAGCCACAACTATTTAAGCCCGTGCGCCTAGAGCCTGTGTTCGCAACAAGAGAAGCCACCTCAAGGAGAAGCCCACATACCACAACAAAGAGTAGCCCCCACTCATCACAACTAGAGAAAGCCTGTGCGCAGCAATGAAGACCCAACACAGCCAAAAATAAATAAATAAATATATTTTAAAAAAATAAAAATTGGGTTGCCTTTAAAAAAACATAATAGAAAAGAATATAAAAAAGAATGCATATTTTGGGACTCCCCTGGTGGCACAGTAGTTAAGAATCCGCCTGCCAAGGCAGGGGACACAGATTCGAGCCCTGGTCCAGGAAGATCCCACGTGCCATGGAGCAACTAAGCCCGTGTGCCACAACTAGTGAGCCTGTGCTGTAGAGCCCGCGAGCCACAACTACTGAACCCACGCGCCTAGAGCCCGTGCTCCGCAACAAAGACAAGCCACCGCAATGAGAAGCCCACGCACCGCAACAAAGAGTAGCTCTCGCTCGCTGCAACTAGAGAAAGCCTGTGCGCAGCAACGAAGACCCAACGCAGCCATAAATAAATAAATAAATTTATTTATTTAAAAAAAGAATGCATATATATGTATAACTGAGTCACTTTGCTGTACAGCAGAAATTAAGACAACATTGTAAGCCAACTATACTTCAATTAAAAAAAGAGAGAGAGGGGTTTCCCTGGTGGTCCAGTGGTTAAGAATCCGCCTTCCAATGCAGGGGACGTGGGTTCGATTCCTGGTCGGGGAACTAAGATCCTGCATGCTATGCGGGGCAACTAAGCCTGCATGCCACAACTAGAGAGAAGCCCGTGCGCCGCAACAAAGAGCCCGCGAGCCGCAACGAAACTCCCGCGTGCTGCAACTAAGACCTGATGCAGCCAAAAAGAAAGAAATAAATTTTTTTTTAAAGAAAAAGAGAGAGAGAGACAAAAGAAAACCAGCAGCAATCGCTAAGCGCAGGTGGTTGAAGGGCTGAAGATGGCTTGACTCAGGCCTGACCAACCAGGCCCAGCACAGCCTCTGGAGGCCAGGCCAGGCCAAGCTTCTGAGCCTGCTAATGTCTTACAGACTCTGGTCCCCCAGGCCAAAGCATTAAGTAAATAAACAGCCAAAACACCTACATCATCAGAGGACCCTCTGCCAATTCACACCAAATTTAAATGGTGCGTATGAACCAACCAAAGTTATGTTCAAAGTTCCACTGAAAAAGGGCAATAAAGACTGTGAAAGTCTTCCACACAAAGAATAGAAGAGCAGCAAGGAATTCTGTGACCCCTCAGCCCTGGGCTCTTTATCCTAGTCACCACAGGTGACTAGGATAAATGCAGAAAAAAGCCAGGGGCATCCCTGTTTTCTCAGTTTTGACAAAGACCCACATAAAAGGCTCATTTACCATCTCTCAAGTCAGCGATCTGAAAAGATCTGAAAAACAGCCGTGTGCACACATGTGAAGCAAATGAGGACTGTTGCTCAGGCCTCCCGCCAGGGAACAGGGAGCCTGGACGACACCAGTGAGCACAGTGGGAGCAGCCTCCCGGCTGACACACTCCTCCACGCAGAATCAATGCTGAGAGAAGCACCTGCTGCTGCAGGAAACACATCCCCTGAGCTGAGGTTCCCACCCGGCTCCTCCTCCTGGCAGCGGGCATTCACTCGCTGCCTATTCACTACCCACTCTCCTCCTCCCTTCCCCGTTAACCCCAATCTTCCCCTGAAGGACCACTCCCGCTGCTGGAGAGTGGTGATGCTGTCTGAGTGGGGCACCCCACTTTTCTTCTGGAGTGGCCCTATCTGGTGTAAGCCCAAGAGCAGAGCCTCAGCCCTTGCACAGTGATTATGCTGGAGTGGGCAGGACACACTGGCACACAGCACCCCCAGCCACTCAGGGCAAACTGCAGAACGTTCCTTCAGTGGGAAGCATCTGTTTACAAAACAAGGGAGCCAACCTGAGAGCGAAGCTGGCCGCAGGAAGGCAGAGGCAAAGAAGCATTCAGAAACGGGACAGTTTCTTACAAAAACGAACGTAATCTCAGCATATAATCCAGCAATTGTGCTCCTTGATATTTTACCCAAAGGAAATGAAAACTCACGTCCACACAAAAACCTGCACACAGGTGTTTACCGCAGCTTTAGTCATAACTGCCAAAAACTGGAACCATCAGGATGTCCTTCAGCAGGTGAATGGATAAGTAAACTGTGGTCTATCCAGACAATGCAATATTATTCAGTGTTAAAAAGAAATGAGCTATCAAGCCACGAAAAGACACTGAAAAACCTTAAAAGCATATTACTAAGTGAAAGAAGCCAATATGAATAGGCTACATACTGTATACTTCCAGCTACGTGGCATTCTGGAAAAGGCAAAACTGTGGAGACAGTAAAAAGATCGGTGGTTGCCAGGGGTTGGGGGCTGGAGAGGTTAAACACGCCGAGCACAAAGGAAACTACCCTGTTTAGAGTGATAGATACAAGTCACGGAGAGGGAACCTAATGTAAGCTATGGACCGTGGGTGATTAGTGTAGGCTCATCAGCTGTAACAAATGACCGCCCTGGTGGGGGATGGTGATAGTGGGGGAGGCTGTGCATGGGGGGGGAGGGGTATATGGGAAACCTCTGTACCTTCCTCTTAATTTTGCTGGTAACCTAAAACTTCTCCGAAAAAAGAAATAAGTCTTTGAAAGAAAAATGGCTGGAGTCCGAATCAAACCACATCTGAAGCTGGGCCTGCCTCTGGACTTTTCACTTACCTGAGCCAACCAATCCCCTTCAGTGTTTAAGCCGGGGTGGGCTGGCTTTTCTGTGACTTTCACACCCTTGCAGAGCAAGTAGAATGTGCTGGACTCCATATCCTGCTAGTGCTGATGAACAATGACCCTGACACAGGGGACTGTCCACCCGCACAACCGCAAAGGCAGCCCCCAGAAGGACGGGGTCTGAGCACAGGCAGGACTCGTGAGCGCCAGACTCCCACGGCCACCAGCAGCTCCATGAGAGGCAAGTTAAAAACGAACATGTACGAGTCCTTACAGCAACATATTCTATTAATTTGATAGCAAAGGTTATTTATTACAAATAGAGCAAACCAAAGAGAAAAAAAGCAAAGTTGCTGCTATGACCGACCCCCGACTGAGAACTGAAAAGTGTGCAGACTGGCTGGTTGGGGGAGGGGTGGCACGCAGGAATTTCTAAAATTAGAAATCAGAATTGAGCTCAATTTGTTTTTCCCTGCAGCCCAGGCCTCAAATTTAATCCCATTTTTAAACTGTTCTAATCAAATATGACAACTTTCAGGTTAGGTCTGAAAAGCTGTGTCAGTTACTAGCCTTACCTATCAGGATAATTTTATAGTATATTCTGCCCTAAAAAGACTGCTAAATCAATAAGGTTTAAAGACAGTGAGCAAAAGGCCCACAAAAATTACCTAAACAGTGTATCTTCAATCACATCACTTAAAGGACATTTAAACCTTAAAAATGTTTAATCCTGTGTTTTATCAGCAAGTGACCAATTTCTCTGCCACAGTAAGCCTGAAGAAGTGATCTGCGCTTTTACTAACTCCACGGGAGAGGCCCAGCACCTGGGGATGTGCTTGCAGACTCTTGATTAAATCAGCAGGGCCACAGGAATTCCAGGCTTTCAAAGTTTCACAGGCAGGAGTATCCAGAATCAGCTACAGGGAAATGAGTGAGAACCGAAGTGCCCACTAAAATCGGCAACAGGCTCCAACTTGAGACCAAATAAACTTCCAGCAACCACAGAAAAGAGAACGAAGAAACAGGTTTCCAAAGTGGTAACAACTTCCCGATAGCACCACTCCACGCCTCCAAAGCCGCATATGTGCCCACGTGCAAAGACTGTGATCACAACTTCAGAATGCTGGGAACTGAATACACAACAGCACAACTCATTTTCTTGGCGGGAGAAAGGTCCAATCCTGGAGCCACAACCACTTTGGAAGTTCCCAAAGTGCTCGGACAACTTGAAGCACATCAGCCTCCTCACCACCACCCACCCCGACCTCTAGGAAGAACCTCATAAGACAGTTACAAAATGCAGTGATCCAGAATTCTCTACATACTGATGCACTGAAATGTCCACTCTTCTCTTTATTCAGCCAAAAGGATTATGTCTGCCAGGTAAACCACCTTCTGTGCAAGAGGACACAAATTTTACTGCTAAAGGGTAAGGTTTAGGGACTCCCCTGGTGGCACAGTGGTTGAGCGTATGCCTGCCAATGGAGGGGACACAGGTTCAATCCCTGGTCCGGGAAGATCCCACATGCTGCGGAGCAACTAAGCCCGTGTGCCACAACTACTGAGCCAGTGAGCCACAACTACTGAAGCCCACGCACCTAGAGCCCGTACTCTGCAACAAGAGAACCCACGGCAATGAGAAGCCAGTGTACTGCAACAAAGAGTAGCCCCCCGCTCGCCGCAACTAGAGAAAGCCCGCGCGCAGCAACGAAGACCCAACGCAGCCAAAAATAAATAAATAAATAAGTAAATTTATTAAAAAAAATAAAAATAAAGGGTAAGGTTTAAATGTCATATCACTTCTAAGAATTCCAATGTTCCTAATGACTTACAAAGCCATATATTTTAGGCTGTTCTTGATAAAAGTGCCCTCAAAATACAAACATTAAAAACATCTAATGACAAACGTGAAGGCATCATGAGTAAAGAGTAAAACCACAATTTGCCCCAGCTCCAGGAGTGCACCCACTTTGGGGCTGAAGGACAAGACCTTTCCCTGCTAGTTCTCCAGGTCTTGGAGGTGAGCACAGAAACGGAGGCCTCGGGTCGGACTCACCTGAACTCTCTGCCTTCGCTGTACCGTCTACTTGAGGAGGCCCTCGGGGCGGCGGTTTCCAGGAGCAGCTTCTGCGTGAGCCTGCCGGGGGGAGCAGGGTCTCTGCCATCGTCTTCGTCTACGTCTTGGTCACATTTCCATTCCTCATCTTCGTTCAAAGTGGGTAGGTATCCAGGTACTCCCTTCCCTGTCCCCGACCCGGAGCTCTGGTCACTGCAGAGCTTTGGGCTCTCCGAGCCTGTCCTCGTGTACTCCAAATAAATATCGGACTTGAGGAACGAGGGGTAGGTGTTCTCCTCCATGGTAGACTGGATTTCCGTCTGGGCCTGGTCGAACATGGCAGGATCAATCTGCTGCTTCATGATGCAGTCCTTTATGAAGCTCTTGGTGGCTGGCTTGGTCTGCCTGGACACAATGCCATTGTTATCAAGGATGTACTTGCGGTAGATAGCTCTGGCCAGCTTCAGCCTCTTCTCCTCATTCGAGTCACAGGGCTCCAGTTTCCTGAAGCCGCTGCAGGCAAACCAGAAGTCCAGGAGATCAGCACAGTCCTCCTGCTTCAGAAAAGTTCTAAACAGGTTTATCCCGTCTTGATCATCCAGTAGGGAGTGCAGCGACTCGGCCCACTTCAAGTACGGAGGGGTGGGCGAAGCGCTGCCCTCAGGCTCGTACCCCAGGTCCAGATCTGAGCGCCTCGGAGTGGCTGTTGAAGTCTCACCTTTAATTCCGGCACCTTTCCCAGAGCAGAAGCTGTGGCTGATGGGCCTGGGGTCCGTGGACACCAGTTCACCCTCCTCACCAGGCACTGGGGGTCGGGGGGCATCTTCGGTGAAACTTGCTCCGAGGTCCAAGGGGAAACCCTGCTCTTGGATATTCATTTTGGGACTCTGTGCGTCAATGAACAATGAGCGCTGCACCCTAATACATCAGTACTTACAGCTCCAAAGTGAATCAATCTGTCCTGTTGAAACCATTAAGAGGACAAGGATTAGGAAAGGTGGGTCCATGGAAACATGACCACAGAGGTTTTCTCAAGACAAGACTCGCAATGATGCCCTCCCGCTCGAACTCAAAGCCAGAAATTCAGTTTAAATTTTCAATCTTTTGTCACAAAAAAGGTTTGTACTATATTAGAACAATTTCTGGAAACTTTTCCAACTACAGGAATGCCTCTGGCACTAAGAAATGAATGTCCAGAACACAGAGAGCGCCACTACCCTCAGGTGTCATTCTGTGAGAACAAAGAGACTAGCAGCCCATCCCAGCTACAGAGCTGCATGGCCAGTCCCTCTCCTCAGGCTCCAGGAAGGCAGAAGGACTGGAGGAAAGAGAGGTGCTTCTGGTCCTCCCAGCTGTATAAACCTCACATGAAAGACGAGGATGTGTATCTGAGTAGAACAGGGTCGCTGTGATACTCAGATATGGCACATCACTCACCAGAAGGCAGGCGGTCTGCTCTCCACTCCACACTCTCCAGGCCCACAGCCACTGTGCTTCCTGCTGCCCCATTACTTCACACTTACTGTGCCTCACAACATATGCGAACACACAGCAACTTGCTCCTCTAAGTCTCAACACGCCCAAAAGAGCAGTTAACCGTGGGTCGTTTTCAGCATCTTCAAGTGAGTGACCAAAGGACATCACTCACATGCACAGACACAGGGGCCTTCTCACGCTGCCAATGATGTGGACAGTCTTTTTTTTTTTTTGCGGGATCTTAGTTTCCTGACCAGGGATTGAACCCGGGCCCTCAGCAGTGAAAGCACGGAGTCCTAACCACTGGACCGTCAGGGAATTCCCGTGGACAGTCTTAAAAACGCTTCATCAGAAAGCTGCTCTCAACTTTAAAACCTTGCTTAAAAGGAAAGTGTCCTTCTGATAGCAAATGACAATTGAGTACTCTGAGGAGCAGAGAAGGTATAGAACAAACGAAATCCAAACACAATTAGCCAAGGAAGCATACAGCTCACATGATTCAACTCCATAAAATGAAAAACAAATTACCCACCCTCTTAGAGGTCAGGGGACTATGGGTTTTGTTTCTGCTGCCAGATGCCTGTCTTGTATGAGGGAGGACTGTCCTGGACCGGGACTCTGCCATGGTCTTTGGTCCTCCCTGTCACTGAGCCCACGAGCTCAGGCTACACCTCCCCACCTGGCCTGCTGGATGTAAGTGGTCTGCCTAGGAGACTGGAGAGAAGCATGACAGGTCCAAATGCCTAAAGCACTGAACAAGCCAGAGGGAGCAGAGTGAAATCCTAAAACCTGGTACAAATACAAGGCGTGGATCTCCCCAGCCACCTCTCCACACTCTGGGTCCTGGCCTGCATGTAATCTGCCCCGGTACCTGCATTCTCACACTGCACACACTTCAGTTCACCTGCCAGCAGCTGCCAACAGCTAGAAGCACCTAGAGATGGAGGATGGGTCACAATTATTGTTCTGCAGCTAATGACTTTGTATGAAAACTACAGTGTAGGCTGCAATCTCAGCCTCGGCAGGAACAGCCTGCTCCTTCGTCAAGGCCCACGGGCTGTGACACTCTGCTGCTCGTGGACCACTTCAACTGCAAAGTCCTTTTTTTGAGTCCCATCAACAAGGAATGAGCACCTTTGATGTCTCCACACCAGTTCATGGATGTCTAGTGTCCTCCTGTCGGGGACACCATCTCAGGAAAGAGGACCCGCACCTGGTGCTCTGAGCCTTATGGATGGAGATACTCTAGTTCACTAGCCTTGAGAAAAAAACCAAGTCACTGCGTTCTAACAGGAGGCTAATGACAAGTCACTGTCACTTATCTCTTAAAGTGCTTATGTCTTCCATGTAAATGATTTGTAGCAGCCTGATTTAAACATTTTCTGCAGGGCCCACAGCATCTAACACAACGTCTTGCAACTAATGGGCACCAGTAAACACCTAATTCATTAACATTAAGGAAAACAACACTTGTCATAGATGCCAAATGTCAGCTCTTCACAGGTGCTGAAATAGCAGCAAATTCAAGATCTAGCCCTTTTTTATAAAAATGTGCTGTCTTGGTAGACTAACTTTTCATTTGTGTGAACACGTCCCCCTAATCATTTAAACTATTTTTTCACAGCCCAGAAGAAACATTTCTTAAACTTCACATCTATTTTTGGCTGTCAAATGACAGAAGACCTTTGGTGTCCCTGGAAGCACACGAACATCTCTCCAAATTACTGCTGTTATTGAAACGTGCTCCAATTACCAAAATATCTGGGTTCCCACGGAGAAGTACAGCAAGCATTCAGTGTGCACACACATACATACCACAGATAAAGCAGTTATATTAATCAGGTTAGAGTCAAACGCCCACAAACACGGAATCTGGCCAACAGCCTGTAACCACCATCAGTAAAGGGATTCCATAAAAGGAATCCACAACTCTGATACCTCATTTAAAATCACCTTCAGTCACTGCCTAGGTGCACCCTCTGGGTACCATGGCAGCCAGCTCAATGCTATAGGTGTGTGTATATTTATTTATTTTACTCAAATAGAACTTTTGAATTTTTGATTTATGTGGAGTGTGGAAATAATAGAGCATGATTCTGACATATTCCCAATTGTCCATTAATTAAAGTCTTGAAGGGTTGGGACTACTGTTTTACATGTAATCTGTTCCCCCACCACCTAAATCCTCAATGACTAATGTAACCCAAAAAATCCACTTAGCTTTTCTGAAACTAGAAATCCAAGAAACATCAATACCTGCTGAAAAATCAAACAGAAACATTGTATTTTGCATGCTTTCCCATCCTTGTCCCTGAATAGAAGTTCCTAAAACTGAAACCCAGATACTGCTATCTTAGGAGGTCAGGTTTAGACTGTGTAAGTTCTCCAAAACAGGGCCTAGTCCAAGTACATCTGAGATTCTTCCTGAAGCAGCAGAGAACGTTAAGTACAAGCAAGAAGGAGGGGCTGAGATGCACAATAACTCTTTATTAATTATCTTAGAGATGGGCTGAGAAAAATCCCCAAAGGACTAATGTATTTTTCTCTTCTGTCCTCGAGGCTGAGCTATAAGTTTCACTGTCCTGACTATACAGCTCTGGTTTCATGAGCGACTGAATTCCAAAATGTAGGGCAGAGGTAGATTCTAAGATACACACCCAAGAGAGAGTTTTGGGGGCGAGCCATCAACCTGAAAGAGTAAAGCCCCTCAAGCAAGCCAAACCACAGCAGAGACCCAGACTCAGGCACCTCTGCCTCAGAGAGAGTGCCCTCCTTGGGTTTCACACTCACTCATTTCTACTTTTTGCTGGGGGAGGGGAAGGGACACTCCACTGTCCTGCTTATCTCCAGGATCTCTCTGCACCCCACCCACTCTGGCCGAACATGCCCCAGGCCCACAGACCACAGCACTGCAACCGGCACCATCCAATCAAACACATCAGCTGCAGACCCTGGTCTCCTCCAGGAGGACCCCCCATTCCTTCTCACAATCCTGAGTATTCCTCACCCCCTTCAGCTCACCTACAGCAAGTGGCTGCCCCTTCTGAACCAAATCCCACTCTTCCCCATCCACAGGCTCCAGAGTCAACAGACCTTGCCTTCTGCATCCCCTGCTAGCATCCTTTCCTAGACACACCCGACCTCCCAAGAGTGGACCCACACACCTTCCTCACACGCTCCAAGCCCGCACAGCCTCGGAGCCCGCACACCCTCCAAGCCCCTCTTCCGGGTCCCGCGCCTGGCCCGGCCTACGCGGCCTACAATGGGCGCCGCACAGGCCCGCGCCCCTCAGGAATGCGCGCCCGGCCGCAATACTCACCCGAGCGGCGGCGGCGGCGGCGGGGCCCCGGGGCCGGCTCCCAGAGCGGCGCGGCGCGGCGCGGCCCATGCGCTCCGGCGACGCGGCGGGCGGGACCGGGCGGGGGCGCGGCCCCGGGCGGCCCCCATCGCAGCGGCGGCGCGGCGGCCCGGAGGCGGGAGCGGGGCAGGTCGCGGGGGCGCCGCCAAGGCCGGCCGCCCACTCCCACCGCCCTGCTCCGCGGGGACGCGGCTCCGGCCCGACTCCGGCCGGTCCGGTGGCGGCGGCGGCGGCGGCGGCAGCGGCAGCGGCCGCGATCGCTTCCCCGAGCCGGGAGCCGAAGCTCACAGCGCCGAAGCCCAGGCCGGAGCGCCCCCGCCGGCGCCGTCCGGAAGTGCGGGGGCGGGGCCCGGAGCGTGAGGCGCGGCTTGGGAGCGCGGGGGCGTGCCAAGGGCGTGGGGGCGGGGCCAGGGGCGTGGGGCGGGGCCAGGAGCGTGGGGCGGGGCCGGGAACACCAGACGAACCCCGAGAGCGGTGACAGAGCGAAGCACTGTGGTGGGCGGAGCCTCTAGAGTGGAGGCGGGGCCGGAGCGTGGAGGCGGGGCCAAGAGAGTGGCAGCCCGGCCGAGAGCGCTAGACGGAACCGGAGCGCAGGGAAGGGCGAAGAGCGTAGCGGGTGAGGTCGAGCGTGGGGGCGGAGCCTCGAGCATGGAGACAGGGCCTGATGTAGAAGTGGACCCTGAGCGTGGAGGCGGGGCCAAAAGCGTCTAGGCGGACCCGAGGCGTGACGCAAAGCGTGAGCGAGTGGGCGTGATCAAATGTGTCGGTTGGGGAGAGGCCTTGGTGTGGACGGTGCCAGGACGCTGTCAAGGGTGACCCGGGAGGGGGCTCCGGAAACTGCGCTGGGCCCCTGGGGCTGTGTGGTCCGGGAGGGTGGCCCGAGCACCGAGCAGATGGGCGGCCCCCAGGCGCACCGCGGGCGCACGCCAGGTTGCAGCCCTTTTCTGCTGCCTACACGGTGTCCACCGGCCCAGGGCTCCCCAGGTCGGCACCCACAGGCCCGACCCGCGCCCAGCCGGCCTGCCACAGCCTCGGAGCTCCCTGAACGGGAAGACCCTCTCAGGAGGACGGCCACCAACTGCCCACGGCACAGAAGAAAGCAGGTGTCCCGGAGTTGGGCGGTTGGAGAGCACAGCCCGGCTGACCAGGAACTAAGCCCCTGGTGACATCCAGCCTCTTTGTCCCCCTGCTCCGTGCCTGCTGCCCCCCAGGCAGCCAGGACCCTGAGAAGGTGGGCGTGGGCTTTGCCCTCCCTGAGTCCCCAGCCCATCAGGACCCAGCCAAGAGCAGGGCACACAGTAGGCATCCAATAAATGTTGGAAGTCACTTGGGCAGGGGCCCCAACCTCCAAAGAGCTGTGGGCGGGACTGGCTGAGGCCCCACCCCAACTGGTCCAGCCTGCCTCAATTTCTCCCAGGCACCATCCAGCGTCCCGGCAAGGGCTCCACTTCCCATCACTGCCCCGTGGGTCCCACTGGCCCAGGCCAGCCTGAGAGCAAGGGCTTCTGGGTGTCCTGATCCCTGCACCCACTACCCTTCTCCCCCTCGCTGTTTCCATGGCAGCCCTTGCCTGATCTGCAAGCCCAGCTGGCTAGCTCCCATGTTGCCCACCCACCACCAGCCCTTCCCAGAGGAAAAGGATGTGGGTACCAGGAATTGATTACTGCCCCTAAGGAATTGCTTCTGCCACTCCCATGATCACCCAGGACCTCATCCTCCAGCAGTGCCATATCAGACCTGGCACCTTGAAAAATGCTCCCGACAAGCTCCAGGGCATGGCTGTACCCCCATTATAACACAAGGAAGTTGAAGCTCAGGCCACACAGGGACCTGCTCACCTCCTCCCGGCCCAGGGCTCCCCAGGCCCTCATCCATCCCACACTAGCCTCAGCGGCCCTCACCTGGCCTGCTCTCTAGAGCTCTCGCAACCTTCAGGGCTCTTCCCTGGGTGCATTTGGTCACTTGCCCATCTTCATGCTTCAATTATGCTGCCCCCGCAACTCCCCAGTTCATCTCTAATGCCACCACATCTTCTCCTGATTCACCCTTGCTGCCCATCCTCATCCCTCATAGCTCCCAGGCAAGGGGAGAAGTCCAGGCTTGGGGCACTCTACCCACCAGCCAGCCTCCTACCCAGCTGCCCACTGCTGGCCCCTGCCTGGGGTGAACGGCACAGAGGCATCCCAACCCCCAGCATCCAGCTTCCCAGGACTCAGCACAGCCTCTGACGCCCAGGGTTTCATAGGAAAGGGGAGCAATAAGGGACGAAGGCCACCAGGGAAGAATCCCCAGCCTGCCAATGGCCCAGGCCACCACCCAGGGCAGGCTGGGCAGGAGCAGGGGCTATGGGTAGGGACAGCACATCAGAGGAACTGCACTGCTGAACTCACTAGAGTCCTGGTGGCAGGTGTCACTCTCACCCACATCCAGCTGGGATGGCCCCAGGCCTCCCAGTGCTGGGTACAGGAGATGTCTTTGCAGCCTCCCCCTGACCCTGTTCAGCCACAGAGCCTTAGAGACAGAGTAGGTGGCCATCATGGCACAACAGAGTCTCTGTGGGGTGCAGGAGTCCTCGGTGGGCCGAACAGACATCAGGACCTCCAGGACACTGGTCCTCAGGCTGTCTTTCCACTCCCAGACACGGGCCCCCAATGCTTGCCTTGGTTCTGCAGAGCTGCTGCTGTGGCCAGGCCAGGCTCCCAGGGTCGTGTCCACATCCATCCTCCTCCTGGCCCATGGTGGCAGATGTCCCCAGGCCCTGGGACCAGAACAGGGCCCTCGTGCCTCTGGCTCCTCGGGGCCCTCGCCCTGTGGGGACAGGAAGGGAGTCAGAAAGCCTGGAGGAAATGCTGTAGCCCTGCTTCAGGGTTGTGGCTATGGGCACTCAGGGGAGGCTGGAACAGGGTGGCGGTGGGAGGAGCCCAGGGAGGGAGCTTGGGGAGGCTCTGAAGAGAGGGAGGCAGGGAGGGCAGCCCTGGGGGCCTGCACTGGAGCAAGGGTGACCTGGCAGGGGGGTGCGTCAGCCACCCAGAGCTGAGAGCAGACACAGGGCCATGGGAGCCTCACTTGGGAACAGGGAAGTCCATGATGGAGCCCTCTTTTCCTACAGAAGTCCTTTAAAATGCACCCCTCCCTGGGGGCAGGAGTCTGCCACAGGAGGCTTTACTGTGATAAACTGTAGATGACATTTGTTCAGGCTGTCCAGGAATGAAATAAAAAACTTAAGAGCAGAAAGTAAATCATTTTCTTCAACTGAGACATAAAAGGAATATTTGAAATTGAGTGAGCTCTGAAGCCTTACAGATGTTTGTCCACTTGGCTGGGGGAGACCACTTACAAGAATTAATCCTTGGGAATCATCCAAGATGCACCAAGGTGGTATGTTGAGGGGCGTCCAGCATGGCGCCATGTGTGGGGGATGAGCCCCGCAGACAGGCTACTGCACGTCAGATCCGCACAACTCCTGACTCCCAGGAGGGGAGGGCAAGGAGGGGCTGTTCTGAGTCAGGCTTCTGGAGGGAGTTGCAAGCTTCAGGCTGAGCCCCTTCTGGGCTCTGCATTTTCAGCTCTTCTGCCTGGCCCCAGGTGTGCACAGTGGGAGTGCGCAATGGGCAGGCAGGTGACGACCTGGAGAGGGAAGCGGCCTTGGCTCATCAGTTCTTGACGAGTACAAGTGGACTTCCCTTCTGAGAGGCGGCCCCAGCCACAGAGGCCAGCCACCTTCTTAGCCATGAACCTAGACCCCTGGGCTCCATGTTTTGTCCTGAGTGTCCTTTTTCCATCAGTTCTGAGCTCAGCGAGGAGGGCCAGGTGTTCCCCCATCACAAGTTCAACAAAGGATGTGGAGACATCACACCAAGGGCGTGAGAGACACCACCAAGTAGAAAGGCTTGGAGCCCACGCACACGGTACCCACTTGGGTGGACACAGAGAATGTGCCTATAAAGGCAGGAACTACCCCAGAGCATTAATACCGGTCATTGCCGGAGGGCAATTAAGGCGGGCTCCAGTCTCTTCACACATCAGGAAGAAGGTCTACAACAACGTTACTGTTGAGATCTTAGGAAAACCAGGAAGCTCTGCAGCAGGCCATCGTCCCATCAACGGTCAGTATAAATTAATCCATCAGAGTGAGGCCAGCCTCAGGTGAGGATCCTGGGGTATGGGACAGAGCTGACCCTTGGGGCAGTGTCAGGCAGGGTGTGACTGCCGTGGTCGCCCCGAGTCGGCCTTGGGACCAGCAAGAAGGTGCCACCTTGAGCTTCCTGGGCTGGCCAGCTCCATGACCACCCTGGGCTGGGGCCTCCCTGGGCCCCTACTCTGCCTCAGGCAGGTCCCCCACCTCTTTCCACCTGTGTATGTCTCCTCTCACCCTTCCCACCTGGGGGCAGGTGTGTCCTCCAGGCTGCCATTTTGCATCCCTCTTGTTGCCTGGAGTTCTCTTGCCAGCCTGCAGCCGAAGCTGCCGCAGACAGACGCCCAGGAGCAACCCCAGTCCCGGTGCCAAGCTAGGGAGGTGGGGGGACAGGAGCAGGGCTTTGCTTCAGACAAAATGGCTTCAAGGTCACCTCAGTGGTGCAAGACACTTTCTGACCCTGCTGCTCTCTGTCATCCAGTCCTGGTGGCCCCTGCTCCTAGGAAGCACTTCATCCTGCCCTGGCCTCTTACAGGCCAGGAGGTCCCACCCACAGAGATGGAGAGCTGAGCACTCTGCCATTGCCGGTGCTGGCAGTACGCTCACAAACGGGCACGGTGGTCACCTGCTTGCTCCCGCTCGCTCAGAGCCCGGAGTCCCAGGCCCCGCAAGCCGGTGGCATGCTTGTCTCAGGGTCCCTGCACAGACCACTCACCCAGCAGACCTGACACAGCTCCCCTCATGCCTGCCAGCCCCCATGAGTCAAGGGCAAAGCCCCAAAGCCAGCACACTCCATGCCAGGGTGCCCTCCACACACCCCCAACTCAGGTCTCACCCTGTGTCCTGAGGGGGTCCTGTCAGTCCAGGCTGAGGGGCACAGCAGGGACACCTTTCTGCACTGCCTCTCTGGAGGATTCTGACTGCGAGGGTGTGTCTAGTGGGCTCAGGGATGGAGGATGGGCATCGAAGTCTCGATGGCCAAGATGGCTCCCACCAGCCCCAGGGGCTTGGGAAAGAGGAGGGGTGAGCAACCCACCCACCCCCAACCCAGCACCTCCCCAACTTGGGGGCCTCAGCGTCACCTGCCCAGCTCCTGCCTCCCTGGACACTTAAGCGTCTGCCTGTGTTTTGGGCCGGCCAGAGACTCTGGGCACCTCCTCGAGCCAGAGTATCCTCCTTAACAAAGTGAGAGTCCCAGCGTGATCCTGCTGGCCTCAGAGGTCTGTGTGTGACCCTCCACGAATGGGCCCAGGCCACGAGATGGAGCCCACGCTGGCTGTGGTCTCAGACACATCACAAACAGAGGACTGGGCCTCCTGGCCTCGCCCACCCCCAGTGCTATTTCCCCAGGAGCACTGGTGTCCACATGGAAGGGCCAGGTTCCTAGGGACCTCGGCCCAACTTCTGGAAGCAGCAGGTAAAGTCCCACCTTCCCAGTCAGCCTCAGGCTACTCCCCTTCTGGTCTTGGGGCTGCCTGCCCGCCTGCTGCACTGACCCTCACGCCGGGCAGACTCCCCCTCTGTCCTCTCTGTCCCTGTCCTGGCTGCCCCATCCCCTAAGGCCTCTCCCAGTGCTGTGAGCACTCACACCCATCTAAGGGTTATTGTTTCTCCTTCCACCTGACACACCTCATTCCACCCCCAGCCCCCACCCCGGCCAAGTCCCCATAGTCCTGGGGACCAGGGCCACCCCTCGAGCTGATAGCTAGGGGCCTTGGTGGCGGGAGGCAGGGAAGTGCTGCCCCAGGTGGGCCAGCTGCCCCTGTCCCCAGCCCACCCCTCCAGGTTTGCCTCCGCCACCCGCCCTCCACTTTGCCATCCTTCGATGTCTCTCTCGGCTGCCTAGGAGCCCTGCGGCTGCCGCGGACCAGTTGTAAGTATGTGATTATGTATGCCGGGTCCCTCTGGCCCCTTTGTTGCTGCAGAATCTGTCATGGCAAACAAAAGTGCACTGGATTAGCCACAGTGGATTAAAAGATTTGCTTCTCAGAGTTTACCTAATAACCTAACAATCGCACTGACAGAGGCTTTGAACCTCCGAGACACACTCGCCAGGCCATCTGGGAGCCCTCAGCCTCTGCGGGCAGCAGGACGGTTGGGATGATTACAGGCAGCCTCCGCCCGTCTTCACACCCGGCTCGGCCGTGGCGGGCCTGAGCGCTCGGCTCCTGCCAGGCCCGTCTGGGCCCAACGTGGAGACGAGACCAGACTCCAGGTGAAGAAGATGGAGGCCCAGGTTGGGGGCCAAGGCCCAGACAGGACCTCCTTCCAGAGGGCCCGCTGCCCAACGCCAGGTGTGGGTGGTGGGCACCAGCCCTCGCCTGCACGGGCCCACCCCCCCAGGGGCATCCACACGTCACACACAGCAGCAAGGACACTGCAACATGGAGTGCGGCCATGGCCGGCAGGTGACACTCCAGGCTCCACCATGCTATGGCGCACAGCCCCACAGCCAGCGCCCCTCAACGCGCGTTCCTGCACACACGCGTGCACACGCGCACACGCGCACACACACACAAGCGCGTCCCTCTTTGATCTCCAAAGGACACTCCATTTACAAGCTCTTAATCGCAGCTGCCTTTTCGGGCCCGTCCTCTGAAGTCCCGAGTAATGGGATTTGGCACTTCTGATCCATCTTGGGCTGACCACTCCCCATTATAGGTGGACGTTTTTTCCTTTTTTTCCGCCTTTTTTTTTCTTCTCGAAAAAATGCTTCTGAAATCGCACTGCCTTGACATGCCTGTTGCCTAGCCCTGGGAGCAGTGGCCGGGCAGCTGTTACGCCCAGGGCCTCGGCCAGTTGGGGGTCTTTGATGCCGCCTCTACGTGAAATCTGCCGAGAAAGACCCACGAGAGCGATTTTCGGACCTCGGTGCACTGGGATTCATCCTGCCTTGCGCCGTTTCCTTTGTCTCTCTTCCCATGACCCTTCCTTGGGGTACCTGGGGAGAGGGGCCCGGGGTGAAGGTGCAGAGGGTGGGGTGGGCTGAGGGCTGTGGGCTCAGCCACAAGAACAATGGGCAGCAGGGAGCACGTCCACCTGTCTGCCTGTCTGCCCGTCTATCCGTGCGCCCACCCAGCTTACCTCACCTGCCTGGCTCCGTGTGCCTGCTCCCGCCCCACCGGCCCGCGCTCCGCCATGCTGGGCCTGGCTGTCCGTCCGAGCACTCTGAGCCACTCCAGGAAGCGGGTCCCTGCTCTTGGCCACTGTGTGGCTGCAAGGAAGAAGCGTGACTCTAGGCTGCAGCTCGGGCTCCCACCGCCGATTGGCTGAGGCAGGGACCAGATGACGGCCTCGGAACCCTATGGTAGCCATGGCAACCAGCCCCTTTAGACACCGCCACCCCCGAGCCACTCCTGACTGCGGAGGGAGCAGGCGGCACCGCTGGTGGGCCCGCGCCAGGGTCCCCTTGGAGGGTCGGGTCAGACGTGGCTGGATGGTTGCTGCTCCTGCACCAGCTGTTGGGTGTTTTTTTGTGTGTGTGTTTCATGCATGTCCAGTGTTAGGGGTCCCTGTCCCTCTCTTGGGACATGTGCTAGGCCACTCCATGAATGCCCTTCCTGATGCCCTGGCAGTGGCAGGAACAGTGTCCTTGCAGCCCCTACTGAGAGGAAGACTTCAGGTCAGGCTTGTCCCAGGAGCTGAAGGCCAGGCCCAGTCTGGTGAGAAAATCATGTGTGAGGGCAGCAGGAGGAGGAGCAGGAGGAACTCCCCACCCCCAGGAGGCAGATCCAAGCTCTCCTCCACCTCAGACCCCACAGGGCCTCCGGGCCTCACCTCTGCCTGCCAACCCCTCCGCAGCCCTCTCCTTAGTCCTTTGGACACACAGACACACACAGCCCCAGCATGGCCCTGCTGCCCCACAGACCTTGTGTCTCCACCCAGTAGGACCCTGGGACACTTTCCAACCCTGTATCTTTGCACCCGCTCTTCCTGTGGCCTGCCCCAGGGTCTGCTGGCCTCAGTGAGGCCTTCCTTAATGTCTCAAGGCCACAGCTATTCAGCAAGGGCACAATGCAGCATCACTCCAAGAACTGGCCATCCTGGGTGTTGCAGAACAGAGAGCAGCCCAGAGCCACCCCCACCCCATCTCCATGACAACCCCTGGCCTTTCAAAAAGCCCGCGGGGTCAGCACCTCCTGGTCAAGGCCCCCACGTAGGGCACCACAGAGCCCTAGGAGGCCCAGCCCCACCTGCTGAGAAGAAGATGGAGGAACAGCTGCAGGGCTTGGAGAAGCAGGTTTGGGCCTCAAGCCCCCAGGAAGAAGCCAAGGCTGAGGCAGGCCCCGGCCGAGGCCACTGCCAAAGCCAGAGGGACCCAGGAGTAAGGGGGAGCACGGAACAGGAGTCCAGAGTGGTCACACATCTGAGGGAACAGGCACAGGGCAGGCTGGGCTGGGCCCAGAGTTACAGGGCACAGACGCTGCTCGGCCAGCACCCTGGACTTGTCCTGAACTCTTCACACTGGCCTGGCCACACCCCAAGCTGCCCAGTCATGGGGCTTCCACCCCTAGCCTTGGGGCATCCCCTGCTGTGCTGGATGCCATGCGCAGACAGATCTTGTCCAAGGGCAAAGTGGGCTGGGTCACCTGTGGGTGGTAAAGGGGCCAGGGCCTGAAGCCTCATTCTGGGGCTCAGGGTGAGCAGGGGAGGACTCTGGCGTGCTACGGCACAGAGTGCCAATCTGCACAGGGCTGGTGCTGCTGGGCAAGTTCTCCTGACCCAGGGCTCCAGCTAGGGGGCAGCCAGTGGCGGTGGGAGGAGAGGGGCTCAAGGGGGCAGCAATGGATGGTGAAGGTTGAGGTGGGTCCCAGTGCGTGTGGATGGGCCCCACAGCGGCTCCCTTATGCTCCCAGCACCCTGACAGGGCTCCAGTTGCCCTCTGCACACCTGCCACCCTGCAGACCCTGATAGTGAGGGGTCAGGCACAGAGCCCTAAACTGAGCCCTGCCCCTCTCAGCCTAGGTTGTCCCCTCTCTAGGTAGAGTTGGTCTTTTTGCCTACCCTGGGACACAGGGACAGTGGAATCAGGCAGTGGACACAACAGGGCCTTGACACATCACGGTGTTGACGGCCATGCTACTGTCAAGGCCTCCAGTGCTGGTCCCGAGGGCCCGTCCCCAGTCCATAGCCATAGTGATGCTTCACCCTCCTGTCCACAGCCCAGCATGGAAGCTGACTGGTTGAGCTATTGTCATAGAAACACACAGGAGGGTCGACCCAGCTGGTGCAGACAAGGGCATGGCCTGTTTGCAGCCATGGGTCAGTGCAGGGCAGCTCATGCTTCCACAGGTTCAACCTTGATCAGCACAACCCCCTGCCCTGCACCAACCCAGGGTTCTGATGGGCTGCAGGGCCTCAGCTAGGGCAGAACTGGAGCTCTGACAGAGCAACAAAGAGGCTGTGGTTGAGACTGTGCAGAGGTGTGGTTGACGGAAATGAAGGCAGCTCAGGGGCCTCCGCCTGACCAGGGCCGGGAGGGTGGGACACGTGGAGGGCAAGGACGTGTGGCTGATGGGCAGCTCAGCTCCTGGCTCCATGCTTGTGGGTGATTGCAGCCCTTGTGTCCTCTCCCCACTCCCACCTCCCAAAGGAAACAGGAAGGTCTGGGTTATTGTTTTCTTGGGGCTGGGGAGTGAGTCTGTCACTCAGTGAGGGCTTCTGAACCTTTCCTGAGTCAAGGATTTTTGTGAGAATTTGATGAAACTGATGCTGCACCACCAGAAAAATGCTCATGTTTTAGTTCTGGGGCCAGGACCACACTCAGACCCCCACCTCAGTCCAGCCTCAGGCTATGCAGGGGGCAAGTGACCTGCTAAGGGCATGCCAAGCTCCTCCCAGGAGCCAGCAGAAGCCAGCCTGGGCCCACCAGTGCTGACAGGGAGGCCAATTCCACCCTCCATCCACCTCTCCCCTCCCCCGTACTGCTCA